CAAATTGCACACGTGGGCACGAGCATGCAGCTACTGGGCATTACACTCACTGTCCATTCACTGGGCACGTATTCACACCTTTAAAGGTCATACACAGTTGGAAAGCACGTATCGAACATTCAGTGGTCTTGAAATATTACAAACATTTGTTGCGAGATTTATTCAACATAATGTCAGCATCGAGTAGTTGTTTGCTGTTGATTTGTTTATTAATTTGATCATTTCTCTCTCTCTCCATCTGTACACCCTTCTGTCTCTGCTTCCCACGTGCATCCAACACACATTCTGCTCCTGTCCAATCACAATAGCCTTTTAGATGAGAGTCACGTGTCGAGTGCATGTGGATTTTACCTGCTTACAATACACTTCGATCTCTCTCAAGCTACAGTATCTCTCACCGTTCCCCTCATATTGAATCACACAAAGTCTCTTTCACACACACACTCATTCCTTCTCTTTCATCTCTTATGGGGCTGACAGAGGTGTCATGGGTTGAGCCCTATTTACAGTTCCCCCCCACCCCCGGTGTCTAACACCGTCTGAAGCCCGGCTATACTCTGCTCGCCAGGGGGTCTCTACGGTCTCCATTTTTGAAGGAAATCATATCCCTGTGATGACGTCTCTGCATGTATTATTTCGAGGAGATACTTTATTGATCCCGTGAGGATATAGTTTATGCCCTCGCTTCACAGAGACGTCAGAGAGAAGAGCCGGCTGCACAGCTGCAACCCTTGAGGTGGTAGAGGTTTGGCTCTTTGCTCTAGATAAGAGTTACAGTTTATCCTGTGACCCTGTTCACATCAATTATCTCGTATCCAGACACATTCAGATTGTTTCTTGATCCAGCTGAGGTTAGACTTTTGAGTTAGGCATTAGGTGCTATAAAGTACCTTTCTATTTACGCCCAATCAGCATGCATGGTATCAAACCGTACACAAATTATTAACCACTAAAAGCACAGTAGGTAACCCATCAGTTGTATAACAGAACCAGCTATATGAGGCTTAATTTACTTACATAGGCACATATCTGCTTAATGTTCTACACAGTATAGAACAACTCACCTGCAGCGCTGCACTGTGGCTTTTCAAAAGTCATGACGTGGCTTTATGTTTCATTTAAAGCCTTTGTATTCTAGAGATATGCCGCAGTTTTGTTGACGTGACGCACTGGGGGCGAGTTTCTATGGAACCGAAACCATAGAAAACGGTTCTAAAACCGTGTTACCTTGCCATAGTTTAGACACAATATAAATTGTCTTTTGCTTCACATTTTCTATTCATAAATGAATAGAAAACAGTAAGATTCCCTCACGCCTCTCATGAGCATGAAGCTTGAGGATGTGTTTTGTTTTGAGCATGTAATTACTCAACTCCTATATAAGTAGTTAGTTTCTCAACCAATGTGTTTCGGCTAAATTTCTTATTTATCATTTATTGCATATATGCCGGTAGCTTGTTGCATCATATTGCATGGATGAATGGAGAATGTTGACTGCAACAATTGTCTTTTCCTTGATATTAAGTACTTTTACATAGTTAGTTTGGGGGGTTAAACATGACATCAGTAAGATTTTTTTGTATGTAGTATTTCTTCAAAACCCTGTGCCTCAGTGTGTTTGTTAGCTGTGCTCACTGTATCACTGTAATTATGAATATTTATTAGTATTTTATCATTGACACAAGCCTTAACACCTCTGAGGGCATTTTCCCAACATGTTAAACAATTCATCCAGCTATCTGTCCATCTGTTCATCAATACACCATCCTTTTCCTTCAACAAATATATTACACTGGATACTGAGCAAGGATATGAACTGCTGAGTGTTCATCCTTAGTGCTGACTTGGCAAGCACTCAAAGTGCTCAGGAGCTGGCCGGCCCTCATAGTTATACAGTAAGCTTGTTCCTGCCAGAAGCTTCATAGCTGCTATTATTTGTCACTTAGAGGTGGAAATGGGAGGTTTAGGGTAGGAAAAGGTCAGACATTGTGTGTCGATTATACTTTGTAAAAGTCTAATTAATTAGTGTTAAGCAAGTTATATAGCAGTATAATTCTTAATTTTTGTATATTTTATAATTATTAAATTAATTGTTGTGTGACGAATAGCTTCATACCCACTGCATGGGATGGCTGGACTCGCTTGGAGCCATTCTTTTTTGGTTTTCCATTGGCAAAAGTTGTGCATTGTACCTGGTACCTGTTTCTTTTTTTGGTATCACCTCGGTTGAGGTTCCAAGCGAGCTGAGCCGATTCTAAAAGGTGGAGTTCAAACACTGCAGGCTGCTGATTGGCTTGATGGGGTGCTTAATAGAGAAAAGCACCTTGTACCAAAAGTAAGTCAAGCCGAGTGGAAACAAGAGGTCATTTTCTTGAGATAACATGATAATTATCCGTAAAACTTAGTTAGGGTTAGGTTGCACATTGACACAGCTGAACAGGTTTTAACCCTCGCTCTCTGGGTTCACTGGGTGTTTGGCAGATGAGTGGGGATGTAGGCTAAAGAGGTTTGGTGGAGTGACTGCCCTCTGATGCTCCGAAACTGACACTGTTCTTACCAGCGATCTTGCAGGTTCATTGCACATCACACTGCAAAATGGGATTTGAAAATGCACCAAAACTTATTTTGACCATAGTTTTGACAAATTTCTTTCAAACTTTATTAAAATATTGTGTGTAGCCAGTAATCTATATCGGTTGGTGTCAGTGTTTCACAATATGATCTAGGACCAGGACCCACGTCTTGGATTGATGACAAAAACTTTGACAATCAAAAACTGTTGTCAGCGTTTGTCTGGGACAAACCAAAATCATTCCATGCAGAGGTTCCTTTATACTTAAACTGTGACCTGTTGGCTCAGTGGGTCTTCAGCATTTTAAGTTTATTTTAAAGGTAAAGAGAGTGAGCAAACACACCATGATCTACTCCACCAGCCAGGTAATCCCGCCTCATAGACAATGAAATAAATCACTTCCCAATAACCCAATCTTCTTGTGTTCTGAAAACAAACACATTCTCTCCTGTCTATAGCATTGTCAGCGGCAATGCTTAGTGTGTAGTTATAGAGGTACTTTCTCTCATTTACTTCAGTTTTCCCCACATTTTTTCATTAATTTAAAGTTTTTCCATCCCGTTCTCTTTACTCAGACGCAAATGACTCACCTGCTCACATAAACTGTAATATCTGTGAACCAGCAAGTGTTTGCCCTCATCCCCCTGTCGTCTCTCCCTGTTTAACATAGTGTTCATTAATAGGCAGACGCCTCTGTGTGGTAAAGGTAATTTTCTTGGTTTTGCTACACTGATTACCGTCACGTCGTCTTAGATTCTGTCTGAAACAGATTTCCCTGCTCTTATTTCCATGGTGCTCCCAATCTCCAGTCACTCTTTAGGTGCCAGACTACGAGAGGAGGAACTTCTGTAATGGCTAATGTGTGGTACATGGGTTTACACATGTTCTAATACACAGCTGTGTGGATACTGTACTGTAGTCAGTAGATTTCAGCAATGGGATGTCAGTCAATGAAGTTCCTACACTAAGGTAAAGAAAAACTTAAAATCAAGTTTAATACAATACTGTACTGATCAGACCACAGTAGTGTAAGTGTACAAATATGATTTGGGTATTGGAGGTGATCAAATAAATAATACAGGAAAAATAATACAGTATTGACACATTAGAGGATTCTCCTCCCTTTCCGCTATCTGCAGTATTGGTACCATTTTGTAAGGGCACCATCGCTTGCAGAGGTATCTACTGAGGTTAGCATGCTAACCAGCTAGTCCCAGCCCGTCCTGTCTCATAATTTAACATTGTACGTCAATAGCTGATAGTCTGACAGGCCTCTCCCTGGTAGTTGTAGCTGGGATATGTGTGCGGTTGGCAAGTTCACTATGTTATACAAGCTGTCTTAGCTTTTTTACTCAAATAAATATACAAAATAAACTTAAAATTTAGAGAAAGGAAATTCTTACACCTGTTTTCCATATTAAACAAGTAAATCTTTGTCTTTCCCTGAGTCAGAGTTCCCGCTGTAGCCGCTGTAAATCACCTCTGTACTGTATTACTTGTGGTCAGACTGGCCTCTCTGAGGCTATGTTTGTGTATCAGGAGAGGATGTAGTGTTAGTCTTATTCTAGCCTGTAAGCAAGAAACGTTGCACCAAACTCCTTTCGCAAATCTCTGATTTTAAAGTTCATTTGCTTCTCCGCACGCATGATTCGAGTCTTTTTCTGAGCCGCTATGAATCACCTCTGTACTGTATTCCCTGTCGTCAATCTGGCCTCCGTATGTCTTCCTTGCAGCAAAGCTCCCCGCCGGCATTCCCCACTGGGTCGCCCTCGCCCTGGGTCTCAAAACCACCTCTTCCCGGTGGTGCAAAGTTCCTGTGCTGGAGGCCACCTGATAGGACCGCTACTAGCTGAAGAGTTAACTGAGCTAGCTAACGGCAGCTGCAGTTCGCAGCAGTTAGCAGTTATTGATATGCTGCCCCCTATTTGTTTGGAGTATGAATTTGACAGGAGGCCAAAATCTTAAAATTCTTACACATTTACATACACATGCACCTTTAAAGAAATACAAACAAGCCAGAGCAATTTTTGCCCCTAATAGCTTCAGCCAGACCTTTCTCTTTTGCTGGCATAGCGCTAAAGTGTAGAAATCTGTCTTGTCTGGTCATTTATCATCAACCTGCAATGCCTGTATGTAAATCTCACATATCATCCAAACAAAATGTTGCATTCTTTCTCTGCTTGTGCCTGATGTTGCTCTGTGTGTCAGCTCTTGGCTACAGATCTCTTGTGCACACATGAGCGTATAAGCATACATGAATATTCTAACTTGCACTCATTGTTAGTCTCTCTGAGTGCCTGTAAATTTCTTCAGATGTGTTGTGATAATACTACTGAGCAGTTGCCACTTTGTGCTCTGAGTCAAATATGTGACATGCAGTGAGCGTGGCTGACACAGTGCCATCTGTGTTATGTTGTGTGTGGTGCAGGATCCCTGGCAGGCTCAACGACAGACGCACTCCCCTCGGAGAGCTCAACTGGATCTTCACAGCCATCACCGACACGATCGCCTGGAATGTGCTGCCTAGAGGTGAGGCTTTACATACAGAGACACACACACTGGAGATGCACAGTAAAACTTCTTTAATCAAATGTCACCATTTTATTTTCCTCAGTTACCAAATTGACAGTATAATTCCAATTTATCACAACTTGGGTCTTATTTTTATAGTTTTGGTCATCAGTTATAATAGCATTGAGGTAATTGTTGAAATCCATCACACTCACATTGCTCAAAAGTCTAAAAGGGCTAAAAACATAAGTCCCTAAAATTGCTGGTCCAATCATTACTTAGCAACTGTAACTAGGTACAGCATGTATATCATGCCTTGGATTTTTCCACGTTCTCTCTCCAACAATGTCCATGGGCCTGTATTAAGTGTTTATACTTTGTATATAAAGGTTTTAAAAGGTATTGTCTATTTTATTTTGCCTTTCCAAAACCAAAAAAACACAAGAGAGAAAGTGTAACGAATTTTTAAACATGTCTGACGTAAAAACAAAATGCTCAGTTTACGATATCATATGTGCAGAAGAGGGTCCAGGATGCTAACATTAGCATTGCCGTCCTGCTCTTTTGGAATTGGGGAAGTTTACACTGTATCCACCCCAGCCAATGTTACCTTAGACAGAGAGAATATCAACAATTCTCGACTAGAAATAAGAACCCTGTTTTTCTCTATCTCCGTTTGAAATCAACAACCCATTATTTCTAAAACGACTAAGGATTTTGAGCGGTAAATCTGGCACCACTACATCATTGTAAACGGCATAACTCCCATGGAAGAACAAAAAGCTTGGCAAGTATTGCAACACTAACTAAGGGGACAGGTCTAAGCCAACGGTCAAATATACAGTGGGTACGGAAAGTATTCAGACCCCTTTAAATTTTTCACTCTTTGTTTCATTGCAGCCATTTTCCAAAAATCAAAAAAGTTCATTTTATTTCTCAGTAATGTACACTCAGCACCCCATCTTGACAGAAAAAAACAGAAATGTAGAAATTTTTGCCAATTTATTAAAAAAGAAAAACTGAAATATCACATGGTCATAAGTATTCAGACCCTTTGCCGTGACACTCATATATAACTCAGGTGCTGTCTATTTCTTCTGATCATCCTTGAGATGGTTCTACACCTTCATTTGAGTCCAGCTGTGTTTGATTATACTGATTGGACTTGATTAGGAAAGCCACACACCTGTCTATATAAGACCTTACAGCTCACAGTGCATGTCAGAGCAAATGAGAATCATGAGGTCAAAGGAACTGCCTGAAGAGCTCAGAGACAGAATTGTGGCAAGGCACAGATCTGGCCAAGGTTACAAAAAAATTTCTGCTGCACTTAAGGTTCCTAAGAGCACAGTGGCCTCCATAATCCTCAAATGGAAGACGTTTGGGACGACCAGAACCCTTCCTAGAGCTGGCCGTCCGGCCAAACTGAGCTATCATGGGAGAAGAGCCTTGGTGAGAGAGGTAAAGAAGAACCCAAAGGTCACTGTGGCTGAGCTCCAGAGATGCAGCCGGGAGATGGGAGAAAGTTGTAGTAAGTCAACCATCACTGCAGCAATCCACCAGTTGGGGCTTTATGGCAGAGTGGCCCGACGGAAGCCTCTCCTCAGTGCAAGACACATGAAAGCCCGCATGGAGTTTGCTAAAAAACACCTGAAGGACTCCAAGATGGTGATAAATAAGATCCTCTGGTCTGATGAGACCAAGATAGAACTTTTTGGCCTTAATTCTAAGCGGTATGTGTGGAGAAAACCAGGCACTGCTCATCACCTGTCCAATACAGTCTCAACAGTGAAGCATGGTGGTGGCAGCATCATGCTGTGGGGGTGTTTTTCAGCTGCAGGGACAGGACGACTGGTTGCAATCGAGGGAAAGATGAATGCGGCCAAGTACAGGGATATCCTGGACGAAAACCTTTTCCAGAGTGCTCTGGACCTCAGACTGGGCCGAAGGTTACCTTCCAACAAGACAATGACCCTAAGCACACCGCTAAAATAACGAAGGAGAGGCTTCACAACAACTCCGTGGCTGTTCTTGAATGGCCCAGCCAGAGCCCTGACTTAAACCCAATTGAGCATCTCTGGAGAGACCTGAAAATGGCTGTCCACCAACGTTTACCATCCAACCTGACAGAACTGGAGAGGATCTGCAAGGAGGAATGGCAGAGGATACCCAAATCCAGATGTGAAAAACTTGTTGCATCTTTCCCAAAACGACTCATGGCTGTATTAGATCAAAAGGGTGCTTCTACTAAATACTGAGCAAAGGGTCTGAATACTTATGACCATGTGATATTTCAGTTTTTCTTTTTTAATAAATTTGCAAAAATTTCTACATTTCTGTTTTTTTCTGTCAAGATGGGGTGCTGAATGTACATTACTGAGAAATAAAATGAACTTTTTTGATTTTTGGAAAATGGCTGCAATGAAACAAAGAGTGAAAAATTTAAAGGGGTCTGAATACTTTCCGTACCCACTGTACACAGGTTTCCTAACCTGTGGGACTTTGTTGTACCAATGTCGTTGTGTTCTCAGGTCTGGCGTTTACTTCGGTGACTACAGTGTTGTCATAAGTGATAGAAACAGTGGCCAAAACTATGAAAATAAGACCCCAGTTGTAAGTTGCTGAAAGCAAAAAAGCAAACAACCCGAAACACTGTTCTTACGGGTGTTGAAGGAGATGGAAACACAAACTTGTAAAGATAGCTTAGGGTACACAAAAGTTGTCAAACAGTTAAAAATATCTATTTTATTTTACATGTCTAGCCAAAGATGAAAAATGAAATGAGCCATGTGTTTCAGCTTCCAGGGATACCAAATTAGGACACCTAATAAAAACTGTACAGTAGTGAAGCATCAGCAATACTAAAACTTGGAGAACATCCCCAGTGGTTGAAAATAGTGAGATGTTGATATAAAATGCCAGAAGTGCAGTAAGTGCAGGTTGGCTCCTTAAATGGAGATTAATTGTGTTTAGAGTGTCTAGCGCAGTAATTGGGGACATCATTTTACCCATAATTTGGCGTCCGTAAAAGCAATATGTGCACACATACACATTCAAGCAAAACTCTGCATGGTGTAAACAACAAATATGCATGCGCGCGCGCACACACACACACACACACACACACACACACACACACACACAGCCACAAACCATTACCCACAGGCTTAGCTTGGCCAGATAAACATACTCACACACTGTTCTTTTTCTGACATACATTTGTCGTTTGCATGCAGCACACACACTTTCGCTCATCGCTCACCTGTCTCTTGTATGCAACACACATCCACAGAAACGCACACACTTGCACACACAAGCACACTCAGACTCCCCCGAGACAAACTGTATCCCAGCTAGAATAGCAATGTGACAATGCTGATGGCTGCCAAAGCCTTTTAAACCCCGGGGGCTCTGCTGTTAATGAAGCAGCCCACATCAGAGAGAATCCCTGTAATGAAGGCACAGCACACCTAATCCAAATCTCTCTCTCTCACTCTGTCACCACACACACACACACACACACAGCAGCTCAATCACTTAAACGTTTAAACTGCAACAGAATATAGACGGTTAGAGCCAGAGTCATAGACTGTGTGTAAGAAGTGGACGTAGTGATCGTGACGTCATCCGTTGGTTTGTGGACTGCCGCTTTGAAGCCTCGTGTTTGGCCATTTGGGCGGCGCCATGTTGAGTTTTTGCAACCAGCGGCACCAGACGTGACCAGATTTGGAAGAGACTGTGGAGCCAACGGCTGTGTGCGGAGCTAGCTAGCTTGGTTAGCTATGTGCATCTTTAATTCACGTTAACTGGCTTTTAACCGGGATGGTAATTTTGTCTAGTGAAAAACAGGCTCAAAACTAAATGTACTCACCAGAGAAAGTGAACAGCCAACTCCTAATAAGCTTTTTCAACTGCAATTTATACACTCCTGTGGGTACGAGTCACTCTAGCCCGATTGACAGGTCGCCATGGTGGCGATTGATTTTAAATGGAAATATTCATACTCATATATCAAACTATGATTTTGTATTATATTGTTATTGTTTTATATTGTCATTTGTATTTTTCCAACAAAGTTCAGTTGGCAGTTAACACCAGAATAAGTAAAACAACTGAGGACAGGCCAACTCATTAGATACATTGTGTTTATTCTTTCAGTGTAAATCATTTCTAAAATGTGTCACCCCTTGAGTCAGCTTGTACTCTATGGGTGTAACACTAATAGTAGGCGCAGGAGTTGTCAGACACTGTCTCTTGTATAATGTCCTTGACACACACACATTCCCTCCCTCACACAAAAAGAGGGGAATCACAGTCATAAGCCAGAGATTGGCATGGGGTTGGCCTGACCCCATTAAAGTGAATTAGTGAATTCATTAATGAGCTGATGAAAATGTGACTGCGACCCATCACTTTAATCTGCAAATCACTGTCTCTCTATATCTGTAAGCATACTCACATGCTCAATTAAACTTCCTCTGTTTTCCCTCACTTCCTGCCTTTGTGTTAATTGTATTTATTCTCTTCTGTCTCTGACCTGACGGACAATTTCTATTTGCTCTCTCTGTCTTTAGATTTGTTCCAGAAGTTATTTCGTCAGGACCTGCTGGTGGCCAGCTTGTTTCGCAATTTCCTTTTAGCAGAGAGGATAATGAGGTCATACAACTGTACACCGGTCAGCAGTCCCCGTCTGCCCCCTACATACATGCACGCCATGTGGTAAGACACACACAAACTGCGCTCACACACAGATACCCAGATGTCCTTGGTTGTGTAGAGCAGAAGGCAAGAGGAAGAACAGTCATCCAGAAGGCTTTGCTGTTTGTCCATACACACTGAAGTTAAAGGATGAACAGACTTTTAACACATACTGTACATTCTTTGATATGACATGAGACAGTGTTGTGTTATTTAAGGTATTATATGTGTATTTAAAGATTGTAGCAGTAGAGAGATTAAAAAAAGCTATGAACTTGGTCACTTACGCACACATGGCAAATCTGCTTCAGGGTGTATTTGCCAAATGTTCTGTGCTCCTTTATTAAATGAAAACTCTTCTCTAAAACAGCTTTCCACAGCTAGTACTTTCTTGTTTTTTTTTATTTTTCTTATTATTATAAGTAACAGACCACCTGCTAGATACTTTACAAAGCTTAAAGAAATACTCTAACTGTCTGGAAATATGTTTGTTTACTTATCAGTTTCAACTCTGGCATTCAGCACATGTTCTGGTCTAAGACATGTTTAGCTTAGCTTAGCACAAAGACTGGAAGCAGGGGCTTATTTCATTAAAAGTGTTATATTGCATCTTTTACTGTACACTGTATCTTGTGGATTTAGCACAGGTAGAAACAGAAAACAGGACACTGTTGTTTGGCAGGGATTTTACCCTTTGGAGCTAATTACTGCCCAACAACACTGGGGTTGGTGACTGTATGCGCCATATTAGTTTTTCACAGTTGGGTTTACATACTATCCTGACTCAACAAAACCCAGGTGAGTCTTAGATGTTTTGATGACTAGGTTTCTTACTAACAAATTAGAACACAACAAAAAAAAAAGGGTTCAAAGGTTAGCTGTTCCCTGGATCCAGGTGTTGCGCTTTTTTTCTCTACAGAATTAACAGCGATGACAGCGATATTTATCTTTTCAACAAACTCTTGAGTGATAAAGCAAAAGAAATTTTTGCCAAAATATCAGCGTATTCCTGATGGAGGCACAACTGTGTGTGTCGAAAAATAGTGTGAGAAACGGAGCATCGCAGTCAGACCTCAGATGGTAGAGCATGATCTCTCATTTACAACCACTTCATGTAAAAGTAGGACAAAAGTGGTCCATCAGCCAATAATACACATTTCATTCCCATAGTTCAAGCCACATTCATCATACAACACAGAAAAACAAAATGAAATGCTATAATCACTCTCAAAATAAATGCTGTTGAGAGAGTGTGAGACAAAACATGTAGCTGTTTTTATTTGCTTCTGCGCTGTGGCATATGCACACGCCTCGTTCATGCTAAGTATAATTTCCACGGTTGTTTTGTCAGTTATTTCTGTATGTTAACTGTTGGCAGTGTCGCTGTATGTATTGCTGTCTGCTTCATAGCAGAGGCAGACACGGTCTTCACCGGCAGCAGCCTCAGTCGTCCTGAATGCTGTGCAGACAGACACAAGACAAGTTGTGCTAAACATGGCAGGTTAAAAGCACTCGTACCACAAAAAATAAAACTATACCAGTCCACAAAAAAAGTTTTTTTAATTACTACACAACACAAATCTAAGAGTCTTGTCCCCACTCACACAGCTTGAGGCTTTTTAACCATTTACCGGTTTGTCCTCCATGTATCTCATTACTAGACTGTTAAACAGACACACAGGTGCTCAAAAGCCTCCTGTTGTCCATTGACTTTACATACGCCTCCACACTATGTAAGAAACATTATCCTATCATCTATCTCCATTTAGTTACACAAATACTTCTCCCACTCTCCATTGTTTCTCTTCTTGGTCTTCTATAAATGCCTCTATCTCTCCCACTCATTATGTGGCTCGAAAAGAAAAAAAAAAAAAAACCTTTCTCACTCTCTTTGCCTCAAGCGGCGACTTGTTGTGTAAGTCCCTGGCATCACTTGATGTAAAGAACACTGCTCCTTGCTCCTTGAGCAAGCCCTAGTCTGTCTTTCCTCACTCGTACAAGCCCATTATTTTAGATTGCTGGTGTATTGCACTGTTTACCGCCAAAGAAATTGGGAGTTGCACTTTGTTTCGCAGTAGCCACATGCAGTATTAAGGAGGACAGAATAACGACGGAGAGGTGCTTTAAGAGTGTGGGAAACAAGACTGAGTGAACGATAAAAACTGGATGTGCCAGAGATAAAAGGCAGTGCTAGAAAAATAAAAGTTTGGATCAGCATAGATGGGGGTGGGGGATGACGATGGAGAGGGGGAATTAAGCAGTTTAGGGGCTTGTTGATCGATGTTGGTGCCCAAAAACAAACAGCAATTGTTATTCAGAGCAGAATAGAGGATAGCAGATAAACCTGATTACTCCCTTGTGGGCAGTTTCTGTGTGGGAGTGTGTGTCTACTTTATATGTGTATTGTCAGTGCGCGTCGCTGCACCACTCTGCAGCCAACAGGAAAAAGAGCTTAGTCAGCCACCAACTGGTCCCCTGCACTCCTCTGTTGTCGGCTGTCCCCTCATCTCACACACCACACACTTGGTTTTGGTGAGTTACTCATTCCTATTGGCAGGCATCATGCAAGTCAATGTTGTCATTTCAAACGGTGCGGCAGCCTCCTCCCTGTGAGCGTGTCGTTGCTGATTAGACTGCTCTATCTGCTTGTTTGCACACCTTTGGATTAGATAAACCCCAGCAGGGATGGAAATTTGTTGACAAAATTTCTACACAGATTCCAATACCAGTACTTAAAATTAAGAAATATCCTGTTGATACATTTCTTGATGATGGAAAACATTTCATATGGAGACATTAGGACAAAAGGGTTTATTTGCCTCTCGAATAAGACTTATTGGCAGGTTTCATTATTTTACTACTTTCTTATATTCGTTGATACCTACTGTTTAACCCCTTCAATTACATTTTTGTTTAGTTTTTAATGCATTAAAAAATAAGGTACAATACATAATGAAACAAACCGGCCAAAAGAGAACAAACAGTAAACAATAAAGAACTACTGGATTCCAAAAACGAAGAAAAGAGCTCAAATAATCAAGTTCAGATGAGCATTATACTGATTTCACACAGGCATTTTACAAAAGGCTGAACACGGAATCAGCAGCCATGCAAGTTAATAGTACATTCACACAGCATGTAGAGGAAAGTAAGTGGCTTCATGGGGCTTGGACCTGAAAAAGTCAACCACATAGCCCATTATAATATAAACTTCCATTATTTTCTGTGCAAAAGCAATCATTAACATAGAATAAACAAACTTATCACAATCACTTGCAAACCCAAGACAAACTGTGAGGCTCAAGTTGGAGATGTGGGGTGGGGCGCAGTTATCTCAATTTATTCTAAGGGGGAGTCCATTCTAAGTCCAATCTAAGGCGCTCAAATACTCACCCAATAAAATTCTGGATCTTAGTCTGGGCAATTTTACCCCCAAATTCTTTCTTGGGTGAGAGCTTCATGAGAAACAATGAGTTACTATTAAAATATATAACCACCATACCCTTGTCGATGGGAATTTGTGTTCCCCCACATTAAACTAACTACAGGGTTGCTGGTTCCAATCTGTAAAATACGTTCCCTCTCAATTAATTGCCAATTAGACTTAGTTAGTGATTTTTAAAACCATGCTGCTATCGAGCACTTACTATAGCAGATGCTCCGCGAATATGTCAAATAGAACACAAATAACTCTAACTTCACTGACATGGGCATCTATTAGTCTTAAAATATTTCGCAATTATCATACATAGCAGGGTTATTTATTTGTAGGGCTGTACATAACAATTATTTTTCAAGTCGATTAATGTAACGGTTATTTTTTCCGATTAGTCAATTTATCTAACGACTAATTTTGTGTATTCTAAAGGAAAAAAGTTCCCTATTACTCGATTAACATACCAATTTATCCAAAATAACTGTACTGTTATTGTTGTCTGTACTGTTAGTTTCAGCGGTTTCTCGCTCATATGTGTCCCTTAAATAAATAGAAAATATGAAACTGCTGAATATTTCCATGACAGCAGCGGGGCAGAAATTACTTTTAACATGAAGGTGATAAAGAAATACTGCGTGTCCTCGTGCTGATAATGACGCATGCTTGTGTGGACACAGAAGTAAACACGATCTGCGGTGCTGCCGTCTAGACAAAGTTCTCCGGGATGCTTTCGCTTCACGTGTTCATGCTGCTTCACGTATTCGTGGACAGCAGTTGTGCTGCAGTGAAGCTCCCGTAAGGACGTTGTTGAGTGTCTGTCTAAAAAACTCCCAGACTTTAGACAGTCGAAGGCGCAGTCTTGTAGCAGGAGCTTGTCCGGGGGAATCCCACAAACACCGGATGCAGCGACGCATTGACGATTTACGCAATCGATTACTCGCCCCTGCCCTAATTATTTGTTTGCTAAATGCATTGTAAATACATACAACATATGTGTACAAGTGCAAGTTGAGGTCTTTGCTTCAAATCTGCTGGATAATTTGTGGTTCAACCAGTGTTTACACCATCAATCTAATATTTACATGGTCTGCTTTCTCTAAAATCAGACTTTATATAGCAGCAGAAACCTTGCAAAAGGAGTAACACCTTTTCTTAATAATGCAGTAAGGAATGCACTGTAGACATTTTTGCTTGAAGGCTAAATGTTTTGCCTGCTGCGGTGGCAGCTGAATTTATAAATTCTCCCATTTAGCCTGAACTTGTACCAGCTGACACGAATGCTGGAATAAATTGCCTTTTTGATGACTTTTAGAACAATTTAAAAGTAGTTGACAGAAAAAACAATACCAGCTGCCAAAATGTACCTCCTAGTTTTCTTATTAGACAGCAGTGTTTTTTAGCCACATACTTTGCTGTGTGTTTGCGTGTTACACATACATAACAGCAGTGGATCCACGGTACCTTTAACGCTGTGCTGTCGGCCAGGAGTGCAACTCTATTATACTGCTCTCAGCTAATGGGAGAAGCTGTTTAAGCAGCAGAGAGAGTCTCCGACAGAGTGAACTCCGTGTCACTCGTTCAGCATCACATTACATCGCAGTGCATCGACTGGGAACATGACTCAACCCCTCACTCGTGCTAACTGAGAGGAAAAAGCCCCATCGAGGCCTTGAGCTCAATTTGATGCAAGAAAAAGGAGCCGGAAAGTGAAAGGAAAGAGACTTGGACAGAAAGAATAGAGAAGCTACGATAAGGTCTGATGTGAGTTGCATAACCCCATGAATTAGATATGACGACCATGAGAGAACGCTGGCGTTTAGAGAGGGATTCAAGGCTCCTTGCTGCCCCCTCCAGGACCTGAGGCTGGAAATTTAAAGAGCTGTTTGTGCAGGGAGGAGAGTGCAAGGGCGAAAACTGAAGCTGTGGAGAATGAGTGGGAATGGTAGGGTGGAGAAGGAAAGCCATGACCATGGACTTGTTTCTCTTGCTTCAGATCGTAATGAGATTCCTTTTCAGTTGTAACTAATGTGTGTGGTTTGGTGGTTATTCCTTATAATGTGTGTCGTAATTCTAATGTGTGTGTGTGTGTGTGTGTGTGTCACCTCTCTACAGGCAAGCGTGGGACCTGGCCGTGGACATCTGCCTCTCTCAGCTGCCCACTATCATTGAGGAGGGCACTGCCTTCAGAGTAAGTGTGTGTGTGTGTGTGAGAGAAAAATAAACAGACCTATTTTTTATTTCAGTTGAAAGGGGGAAAGGTGCTGCGTCTGTGTTTTTGCGAGCGTGTGTGTATGCGTATAGGTTAGTGGTCACTGGATACCTAGCACTGATGGATGGCTCTTATCTTGGATCTGTCCACCACTGACGCCTGTAAACATCAACAGTGCTCCTTTGCTGTCCTCAACTAACAGCATCTCTATACGTCTTTCAAACACACATACTCATTCCCTAATACTTCAAGTGTGTCAAATACAAAAATGACTGACCCTGCAGTGTATTGTTATGTTTACTGACATGGCTGGGGACAGTGATGGACATGCTGAGAGGAATGGAAACACGCTGTGGGAGGCTGATAGACCTGATGATGGCATGTGTGTGTGCAGACATCTGCTTTGTGGTGCAAACTGATCAGAAAACCCATAGAAACCGAGAAAGTGGCAGCAGAGCAGCTTTTCCCCGATGTTACCTTTTCTCTCCTCCACCTGGCCCTCGGAGGTGGGCTTCTTCTCCGTCGCTCCCCCGGGGGCAGTTTTCCATCCTTGATCCTTCCTCTGCTTCCTTCTGCACTCTGGCTGAAAACACTTACCAGCACCGTAATTGAGCCTCTGAGGACTACTAAAGTAGATCTTCCCTCTCTTTCTTGCTCTTTCAGGAGCCTTTAATTCCTCTCTGATGTGCTCCAGCTGTTTACATTATTGTCTTGGTCTCTGCCACAACTGAATTTAGAGCTGGAGAAAATCTTTTACCGATTTTACAACTTCTATTTTATTTTGTACTCTTGACAATGCTTGAGTGTTATAATAAATGTTTAACCATATAATGCTCCCCTTACGGCCCCTCAGCCAAATATATTGGGTTTTTTTCAGTGTGCCATATGGACATAACAAACACCAAGAAAAATCAGATTTCTGTATAAATAGTATAGAATAGTATACATTGAAAATAAGGGGGGGAAGAAAGGCCTTTGAAGCTATTACAAACCCTCATCTAAATTTAATTTACAAAAGTCATAAATTTTTTCTTCATGTTTTTGTATTTTGTAATTGTAGACTGTCAGACAACGTTATACACCTTTAAACTAAAAGTGGGATTGCTGCGACAGTCGAGTGTTCTACAGGAGGCCATTCAATCCCACACATCAGAACTTTAGCAAATACTGTTGCTACTGTAGCTAGCGATTTGTTCAATCATTTTGACTTAGTTAATACAAGAACCCCTTTTCTGTTGCTTATCCGCTTCCAGGTTGTGATGATTTAATCCACGATACCATTAGAAAATGTTATTATATGCTGCTGGGAAAACATTGATATAAAAGTAAATAGTTGTAGGACATATTGTCCCGCTGGTTTTCATTACTATAATACTTAACACGGTATGGTCATAAAATGGGTATTAAATGTCATTCTGTGTGGTATTAAAAAGGTCTTAAATTTAACTCGGTGAAACCTGCAGAAACCCTGAGGGTCTCAACCTCTATGTCCCCACCATCATTCATTTAATGTTATCAGATTACAAACACACCCCCAAAAAGCTATTAGTGTATGAAATATGAATGTGAAGTATTATAATAAAATGTTTTATTAAATTCAGGTAACTTCGTAAATAATAATTTTCTCTGGCTTAAAATTCATTCGGATTTCCATTGTACGCCAGGGAAGTTGGAATTAAATTTCATCCTAGGGGGGTAAAAAGGTCTTAAAATTTAACTTTGAGAATCCTGGGGGTACCCTGATTTAGTTTTATTAATTAATAGAGATACTAGAATTGTAGTTAAGATGCCAATACAATGTTATCTATCATGAAGCATCAGGTCTCTATCAAGGAAACTAAATGTTATTTTGAGTTTTATGTTCCAAAATGCAGCATTAAAGCCTCTTTATAGGAGTCTCTAAGCGGGGCCTATGCTCACCATACGCCACTTTCCATGTATCAGTGAGTATGTGACAGTGTGTATAGAGTTATTAAGCTTTGATTATGCACAAATTAATTTAGCCATCCACCCGAGAAGCCTTGATATTTCCCCCTTTCTACATCCATCAACAGTCTACACAACGCTGTCGTAATTCCCGCTGCAATATTAACACTCAGCGTGATCAAAAACTCTGCGGCCAGCAACCAATCAATCAGGCAAACTGCCATAGCTGCAGAGAGAGAGGGAGAGGGAAGGTGATCATGATAGATCAGGATTTATGTCGTTACTGCAGTGCAGTGTCACTTCTTAGCTCATTGTGTCAGGGCTTTTATCAAATGATAAGCTAGTCACTGCAGACTGGCTCATTACCGTGTGTGTGCGCGTATGTGTGTGTGTGTGCGCACGAGGAAGAGAGAGAATAAGTAAGCACATAAATTCTTTAAAACCATGACAAGCACTGTGTGTGTGTGTTTTGTGTCCACAGCACAGTCCTTTCTTCGCGGAGCAGCTGACGGCGTTTCAGGGTGGTTGACGATGGGCGTGGAAAACAGAAACCCTCCTGAGCAGCTCCCTATTGTACTGCAGGTACGAGCACACACACACACAGAAACACACACACACACAGAAACACACTCTTTCTCTGTTTTGATTTCAATTTTTCATTTTCGCTAAGTATCATATGTAAATTCAGTTGTTTTTCCAAAGCATACAAAGATTAAAGTGATTCTATGAGAAATTAGAAATTATGAACAGTAAACATTAAAGAAAATCATTATAATTTTTAATATCTTGTGTACCCTTTTATCTGACCGAGATTATGTTGATGCACACATCACTGTTACACAGTCCTGTACAAGAGAAAATGCTTTCAAAAATATCATGTATGGTCATTAACAAATGTAAAGTGAATGAACGAAGATTAATCTAAATAAATGAATATTTGATGGGACCACCCTTTGCCTTCAAAACAGTGTCAGTGCTTCTAGGTACACTTGCACAATGTCAGGG